CAGTGGTTTTTAAATTAGTTTCTATCAGGTTAAACACGCTATCAGGTTAAACACGCTTCTCATGGCACTGCAGCGGGCTGTGTTCACAGAAGTACTTTTTCGATTGCTAACATTATCTGGTATTGATTTCCCAGCATCTGTCCATTTATTAGCAGACAAAATTCTACTCCTAGTCATCTGTCATTTTACTTATTTTTATTTAATTTGGCACTAAAATTAGTAGTTCTTGTTTCATTCTTTAATTACTGTCTGAAAAGGTGTCCAAGACTGGTAAGTGTGAGAGCCAGAATTTCCCGCTCATGTGATCATTAGAAACGCCTGCCATTGTAGACAGATTTGGTCAGCTCATGGGCTTATCACCCCTCAGGAAACGGTCTGTGCACTTTGGTGTTTGGAGCCTGCTCTGCAATCTCATCAGCCAAGGACTGGGGTCCCTGAATGGCTCAGGCCCAGTGCAGGCATGGCACGGTGGTCGTAGTGTGTCTGCTGCCTGTTCTAACACCTGGTCTACTGACTGATGGCCCAGATCTTCTGAGACCCACTTTTCCCTTTTGTGAACACCCAGAATGTACTTAATTGCCTCATGCTGATTTTTAATCATCTTCAGGCATATAAGCAGAGATTAGTTATCCATGGAAACTATGTAATAATTACTGCTTAAACAGTTTAGACTCTGAGTCCTGTGTTCTGTAGTCAGCAGTTAGCAAGAGACTCCAGAGGTTCTTATTATTAATTTGTATGCTGCAAACTGTTAGCATCTAACCACTTACAAAGATAATGTCCTTAAAAAGGAAAGTGGTAGGAGGCTCTGGTGGCCTAGTGGCAAGATGCTGCACTGCAATCCCAGAGTTATGTGGTTCAAATCCACCAGATGCTCTGCTGGAGAGGGAGGGGGCAACCTCCTCCTGTACCAGTCAGATCTGAATCTGATTTGACGGCACACGTGAAAAATAATACAATAACAGCCGACACCTCGTCCGCCCCGGAGCACAGGTCCCTTCGCATAGTCACCACCGCCGGTTCACACCCGCCACCCCCAGCTCACCATGGATGATGACATCACTGCTCTCATGGTCGACAATGGCTCCGGCATGTGCAAGGCCGGCTTTGCGGGTGACGACGCCCCCCGGGCTGTCTTCCCCTCCATCGTGGGGCGCCCTCGGCACCAGGGAGTGATGGTGGGCATGGGCCAGAAGGACTCCTACGTGGGAGATGAAGCCCAGAGCAAGAGAGGCATCCTGACCCTCAAGTACCCCATCGAGCACGGCATTGTCACCAACTGGGACGACATGGAGAAGATCTGGCACCACACCTTCTACAACGAGCTGCGTGTGGCCCCTGAAGAGCACCCTGTGCTGCTGACGGAGGCCCCCCTGAACCCCAAGGCTAACCGGGAGAAGATGACCCAGATCATGTTCGAGACCTTCAACACCCCTGCCATGTACGTCGCCATCCAGGCTGTGCTGTCCCCGTATGCCTCTGGCCGAACCACTGGCATTGTGATGGATTCCGGCGATGGGGTCACCCACTGTGCCCATCTATAAGGGGTACGCCCTCCCCCATGCCATCCTGCGTCTGGACCTGGCTGGCCGGGACCTGACGGACTACCTACCTCATCAAAATCCTCACCGAGAGAGGCTACAGCTTCACCACCATGGCTGAGCGGGAAATTGTGCGTGACATCAAGGAGAAACTCTGTTACGTTGCCCTGGACTTCGAGCAGGAGATGGCCACAGCGGCTTCCTCTTCTTCCTTGGAGAAGAGCTACAAGCTTTCCGATGGGCAGGTCATCACCATCGGCAATGAGCGTTTCTGCTGCCTTGAGGCACTCTTCCAGCCCTCCTTCCTCGGCATGGAGTCTTGTGGCATCCATGAAACTACCTTCAACTCCATCATGAAGTGTGATGTTGACATCCCCAAGGACCTCTACGCCAACACAGTGCTATCTGGCGGTACCACCATGTACCCAGGCATCGCCGACAGGATGCAGAAGGAGATCACAACGCTGGCCCCCAGCACGATGAAGATCAAGATCATCGCTCCCCCTGAGCGCAAATACTCCGTGTGGATCGGTGGCTCCATCCTGGCCTCCCTGTCCACCTTCCAGCAGATGTGGATCAGCAAGCAGGAGTACGAGGAGTCTGGCCCCTCCATCGTCCACCGCAAATGCTTCTAGGTGGACTGTTTAGTTGCGTTACACCCTTTCTTGATAAAAACCCTAACTTGCGCAGAAAAAAAAAACAAAGGATGAGAATTGGCATGGCTTTATTTGTTACTTTTTTGTTTCTTTTTTAAATTTTTTAATTTTTTTTTTTTTTTGGCGCTTGACTCAGGATTTAAAAACTGGAATGGTGAGGGTAACAGCAGTTGGTGTGGAGCAAGAATCCCCCCAGTTCTCCAATGTGGCCCAGGACTTTGTACATTGTTCCTTTTTTTTTTTTTTAAATAGTCATTCCAAATAATCAACATGGCATGTGACAGGAAGCTCCTGCCTTTCCAGAAGCCTCTCCCTTCCCCTAAGCAGAAAAGCCCCATCCCTCACCTGGGTCCACGCATGGACAGGGGTGGCAGGGAGCATTGCTTTTATGTAAATTATACCTTAACCAGGTTTTTGTTAAGAAATCTTCCACCTTAATACTTGTTCTTTAGTGTTTTTTTTTCAATAGCCATTAGTGGCCCTACTTTTTTGGGGTCCTTGCCCTTTCCCTCAACTCTAGAAATATGAAGGCTTTTGGTCTCCCTGGGGTGGCTGAGATGTGGAGGCAGCCAGGGCCTTACCTGTACACTAACTTGAGACCAGTTGAATAAAAGTGCACACCTTAAAAAGTGGAAAAAATTTGCTTTTCAAGGAGAGGAGCAAATAGGGGGGGAGGGGGGAGGGGTTTGTGCGGGGAGAAGGGTGCAACAATGAATGAATGGAATCCCAAAA